TAAAAATAAAAATAAAAATAAAAACTTGCCATGTTCTCTAGGTAAATGAGTTTTAAATATTTTAATTTATCAGAAAGATCCACAAATTTCTAAATTTCTAAATTGCTTTTCTAAATTTTCTTCCATCATTATTTAAAGCAGACTTCCTCCTGTAGCTCAGGTGATGAAGATGATACCAGCACGATGAAGATGATACCAGCAGCAGAATATTTGCTTCTGAAACGTCGTTTCTATTTTTTCTTCYACTCTTGATCTTATTACAGTTTATTGCAACACGGCCGAGCGTCATAACGGCACCTTTTCTGGGTCACAGTTTGGGTCTTTGTCAGGCTGTAAAAACCATAAAGGCACTGGAGCTCGTCTTCTCSCTCTCCTCACTAGATTGTCCCGTTTCCATGGATACTTGGCATCCGTTTCCTCTGCAAAGTGCAAATCAGAGGCTGAAGGCGGGCTTCAGATCAATTGCTCTTCTCTGATGGTATTGTTTTATTTTTGTTTTGTAACAATCCTGCCACTGAGCCAGTTTATTGTTTTATTTAAGGAGGGACTTTTTTAGGTTTTTACCATCACTGACTCCTGTTCCTGCACCGCTGGAGTCACTGTCGCACACTTTGTGTCCACTTTTCTGGTGAAATGAGGTGAGACCGCATTGTTGTTTCACCTCCTCACCATCAGGAAGTTTATCTTGTGAAGGCAATTCAAATTGAAGCTCTCCATGTGGTGTTTTAGGTCCTGCAGGAACGTTTTGTGGCTTTAAAAGCATCCAGAGATTCTCTAAAGTAAACATATTTATCCTGAAATACTGCCAGCTACTCATTGTCGAAACTCACATCGTCAATTATTCATAGCTGCCATGTTTTGTTGCTGTAGAAATTGTTTGAAAGCTGACTTTGCTGACTGTAAAACCTGGAAGGCAGAAGAAAAGAAGCTGACTGTCGGCTCTTTGATCTATAAAGCTTTTTTATTTTTTTAACTCCTGGGCTTTCATTGTTTATCTAAAACTTTAATCTAATGTCACTTTGAATAAGGTGCGTGCGTGCTTTATGGCACTGAAGAGTTTTGGATTGTGTTCACTTCATCCTRTCGAAGGATGAAGCTTCAGCATCTTAGATTTTAATCACATTTTCAATTTTCTGCCGCCGATGCAGCGGCCGGGCGGCAGCTAAGACTTATTTCCTGCAGCTCKTTTGGAGCTTTGTTCAGGAATGTGCCGACACAAGACGACCCGCCAGCTCTAAACAGAAGCACCAAGAAAGGTTGTGCAGTGGAGCAAAGTTGATCAGTTTGTAACATCTAGTTTTAAATAGTCTCTGCCAGGGCTGTGTATTGGCAAGAATTTGGCGATACGATACATATCATGACAGAGGGCTCACGATACGATATATCCCGATATATTGCGATACTG